CTCCTCTCTCTCTCTCTCTTGCTTCCTTTCTCTTGTTTTCTCTCTCTCGCTTCCTGTTGCCATGTGATCTGCTTGTACCTGCTGGCTGCCTCCCACTTTGCACCATGAGTAGAAGCAGCCTGAGGCCCCACACCAGATGTAGCTGTCCCAGAATCGTAAGCCAAATAAACCTCTGTTCTTTATAAATTACCCAGTCTCAGGTATTTCTGTTATAGCAACACAAAACAGACTAATACATGGCACATCTCAGTTCAGACCAGCTGCATCTCAAGTGCTCAGTAGCCACATGTGGCTGGTGGCTACTGTATGGGACAGCTCAAGTTTAGAACCACTAATGATTGTCTGATGCAATGGCAAATACAAGGTGTAATCTGATTTTATCTAAAGGCAGAAAGTTTTCTAGAAGGCCTTCAAGCCTGAGGTCTTGTGAGGCTGGCAGGGCAGGAAAACCTCTCCTTTTGAGGCCCTTCTCAATCTTTATCATCATTAGAAACACAGAGACCCATGGCTCCCAGGCAAGTTTTAGAATGCACTCCTTGGGGCCGGCCCGGTGGCACACTCGGTTGAGTGTGGCGCTTGGGAGTGCAGCGGCGCTCCCGCCGAGGGTTCAGATCCCATATAGAGACCAGTCCGCTCACTGGCTGAGCATGGTGCGGGCGCGACACCGAGGGTTGTGATCCCGTTACCAGTCACAAAAAAGACAAAAAGGAAAAAAAAAAAAGAATGCATTCCTTGGCAGTGTTCCATGTTCTCTGCTCTGTAGAGGGCACCAACCAGTCAGTTGTCCTGCTGGTATGAGTGCCTGGTGGTGAATTATCGGCAAAGACACAGACAACCCAGCTGAGGATATGGACTAGCCTTAGAACATTCCCTGCCATTCTCCACCATCAAAACAATGGGATTTCCTCAGTTCCTGAGAAAGAAGATCTCAGAGCTCTATAGTGCTAGAACATTTCCATTCTCCCTGCAACTTGGGGGAAGGACAGAGACAAGACACACAGAAAGGCAAAAGAGATTCTCCTTACCTCTGAGTCCTACCCCAAGATGGTACTGAGGTGGTATTAGTTGGTGTGGGGAAAGTAGAGTAGTTTGGTCAGGCTCCCTTGCCTCAGGTCAAGTTGGGGGTGGTGCAGCGCATTCTTTGTAAACAAGTTGTGTGGGGTGGAGTTAGTGTGCATGCACACCCATGTATCTTTTTAGCTTGTTGCTATTCTTGTGTTCTTCAGTGTGTGAAGCACCAGCTTGGCAGAGCTTGGTCTAAAAATAGAGCACACTTACTTTGCTGGCAGCTGCTCAGTTTCTCTTTGGACTGCCTACCTCTTCAACATGTGTGTGTGTGCACTGAATAAAGATTATTATTCCTTCAACCAAGGCTCCAAGGACCTTTTTCCTGTTACCTAGTTTGTAGACCTGTGTGTGAAGAGTTTGTGAATGGCCTCGAGGGGTCTGTGAGCTCCAGGCCCTAGCCCTACAGTTGGGGTCACAGAACACTCCTATTCCACAGCTACATTCCAGAGAATGGCATTTCCTTAGCATGAGTGGTTCCCAGGGCCAGGCAACAAAGGCCTTATCAGATCAACAGGAAAAGAGGAGCCGACGTCCCCAGCCTCACACCCTCCAAACCTGAGCTCCAGATTCTCTGTTCCATGCCACAGGCACATGGGTTCTTCCCTCGAGTGCAGTTCACGGACCTAAGCTTGCCTGAGAGTCCTGAGACATCCCGTCCAAGGTGTCAGGCTGACTCAGGACAACTGTGCAAAGTGCCCTAGAGCCATCTCATCCTTGTTAATTGATAACTTAGTATTATGCCTCCAAAGGATGAATTAATAAACAATTCTCAAAGATGTGGAAGCATTTTCAAACCTAAGGAATGAATTGCTAAGAATAAAGCAAGTTGGAGAAGATACTTTTCAGCGCTGGGACCTCCCAGCGTCACACTGTGTGTGTCACTCACTGATCTGTCAGAGCATACAGCTAATCCTGTTGAAACAACCACAGGAACCCAGCACAACATGTCAGTGAGCCCTCTTCACCTCTGTCCCAGGCAAGCATACGGTGGTGATAGCTGTCAAGACATGGGAGGGAGCTGGAAAATTCAGGTAAAGCCAGGTCCAAATCAAGCCAGGATCTGGGTGGGACAGAGCTGGATGGAAGGAATCACACTATAGTTTGGTTTTCATTCCCTCATTTTGGTTATCATCTCCATCAGCATTCTCCTCCTGGGATAGTAGAAACTGAATAGGCCTTGGGAAACAGAACACAAGGGGTTCATTCCTGGCTCTTCCACACAGTAACTGAATCTTGGGCAAGTTTTCTTTCTTGTTTTTTTTTTCCCCCAAAAGATGACCGGTATGGGCCGGCCCGGTGGCGCACTCGGTAGAGTGTGGCGCTTGGGAGTGTGGTGGCGCTCCCGCCGAGGGTTCGGATCCCATATAGAGACCGGTCCGCTCACTGGCTGAGCGCGGTGCGGGCGCGACACTGAGGGTTGCGATCCCGTTACCGGTCACGAAAAAAGACAAAAAGGAAAAAAAGAAGATGACCGGTAAGGGGATCTTAACACTTGACTTGGTGTTGTCAGCACCACGCTCAGCCAGCGAGCCAACCAGCCATCCCTATATGGGATCTGAACCTGGGGCCTTGGTGTTATCAGCACCGCACGCTCCTGAGTGAGCCACGGGCCGGCCCATGGGCAAGTTTTCTAAGACTTAGTGTACTAGTATCCTGATGCTGCCATAGCAAAGTGCCACGAACTTGTGTGGCTTAAGCAATAGCGATGTGTGGTCTCACAGTTCTGGAATCTGAAAGTCCAAGAGCAAGGTGCTGGCAGGGTTGGTTCATCTGAGGACTGTGAGGAAGGGTCTGTTCCAGGTCTCTCTCCTGATTTCTGGTGGTTTGCTGACAATCTTAGTTGTTCCTCAGCCTTCATGTTCACATGGTGTTCTCCCTGTGTGTCCAAATTTCTGCTTCTAGTAAGGACTAAAATTAGTCATATTGCATTAGGGCTCTCTCTAATGACCTCATCTTAACCTGATTATATCTGCATAAACCAATCTCCAAATAAGGTCACAAATGAGGTCCCATAACAAGTACCTTCCTTACCTGTAAATGGGATCGCAAGACAATACTTCCTCACTTAACTGTAGCAGTTGTGAAAGTGTCTGAAGAAGGCTTGGTGCACAGAAGCTCAGTGTACATCTGGTTTGCGTGAGTGTGAAGGTGCATGTGCCCTGGAGTTGTCTGGATCAGATTGCACCCCTAGGGAGCAGGGCTGGGGGGGGATGCATACCAAGCATCCACCACATATAAAGAGGTGCGTTCTTATGATGTAAAGATGAAAGGAGGAGAGAAGTATCTGATGAAGATGAGCCAGGGCTATAAAAAGCCAGATGGCGGGTGTTGGCAAGGACACGGAACCTGAGGACCCCCATACACTGCTGTCTGGAGTGTACATTAGTATAAATAGTTTGGTGGGCAACTTGGCAATATGCCACAGAAGGGGAAGATGTATATCTGCTGTCCCTGGGCTGGCTGGTTAGCTCAGTCGGTTAGAGAGTGGTGTTACGACACCAAGGTCAAGGGTTCAGATCCCCACACCAGCTAGCCACCGAAACAAACGAAAAATATATCTGCTGGCCCTGAAATTTCACTCCTAGGTATAAACTCTAGAAAAATGTTGGGCCGGCCTGGTGGCGCACTGGAGAGTGCGCCGCTTGGGAGCGTGGCAGTGCTCCCGCCGAGGGTTTGGATCCCATGTGGAGACCGGTTCCCGCTCACTGGCTGAGCGTGGTGCGGGCGCAACACCAAGGGTTGCGATCCCGTTACTGGCCAGTAAAAAAGACAAAAAGGAAAAAAAGAAAAATGTTTACACATGTGCCCCAGGAGATGTATGCAAAAATGTTTATAGTAGCATTGGTCGTAAGAGCAAAAAATGAAATATAACCAAAGTTTCCTAAATGTATTTATATAGTGGAATACTGTATTATATAGGAGTTAAGATGAAATAACTAGAGCTATGCATATCTCTTAAATGAATCTCACTAATAAATATTGAGCAACAAAGAGCAAATTGCAGAACAATACATGCTGTGCATCAGGCAAAAGCAAGTGCTGTCTTGCTTAGGGTACGTACATGTGTATATGGTACGTACATATGTATATGGTACATACATCATGTGTATGTGCATAAAGAGCACAAGAGAAGCACAGGAGTGACAAACACCAAACTCAGGAGGCAGGAGGAACGCAGGGACATTAGGCCACATTGGCAACAGTTTATATTTTTACTTTTGGGGGCTGGCCGGTGCAGGGATTGAGCCCTGGACCTGGGTGCTATCAGCAGTGCATTCTAACAAACAGAGCTATCAGGCCAGCCTAAGGTTTACTTTTTTCCTGGGTAGTGACTACAGAGTATCAGTTATCTTGTTCTTTATAACCTCTGCATGTTTGGAATATAACATTTTTTAACAGCCAGGACTTGAGGAGACTTGCATCCAGGAGACGCCAGAGCCCTACTTGTGTGGGGACTCTAAGCCACTCTCTCACCACCCCTGAAACTCAGACACCAGAGTGAATCACATAAAGAATCTGACATCTGCTATGCTGAGAGGGAGAGGCCCAGAAAGGTGAACCTCTGTGCTCAGGGGGAGGGAAAGGCACTTTCACGTTGCCCCTCTCTGTTCTGCACCCTGACCCCCGGGCTGCAGGTGGAGGACACAGCTGGGCAGCCCAGGGCGGGGGGAGACCGGGAGGGACGCCAAGCAGAGCCAAGTCCCCACACTTACACGGCGCCGGACTGCCACCCCACGCAGTGACACGCGCTTCCTCACACACAGTTGACACACGCGTACACACGCATCCTTTCCGAAGCCCACTCTGACCAGGACCGCACACCCGGAGCCGCTGCCCAGCGCCAGCTGCAGCCTCGCCCACCCTCCCTCTCTTCCAGCGCTGGCTTTTTCCAGCCGGAGCCTTGCTCCCTCTGCTGCAATCTCGGCAAACTGGTGTCTGACGCGGCTGCTCCTGCACATTATTTATTTATTTCCTCTTTCCTCCCGCCGAGACCCTCCTGTCAGAGCTGCAGTCCAGGGAACAGAGACAGGCTGGAAGCTGCAGGGACTCACAGAAGCAGGGGACACAGGGAGACCCCCTCAGGAGCCCCCGCCCCGCTCCTCCCCACAGGGGCCATGAGCACCAGGCAGGAGGCCAGGAGAGACGAAGGAGACACCAGGAGGGGACAGGAGGCAGAGCTTCGGGACCGAGCCCACCTGAGCCAGCAGCGCCGACTCAAACAGGCCACCCAGTTTCTGCACAAGGACTCTGCTGACCTGCTACCCCTGGACGGCCTCAAGAGGCTCGGCACCTCCAAGGACTTGGTGAGGCAGCCCTCTCCCCTGCCCAACCCCAAGAATGTCCCCTGGTCCTTTCTCCCCTTTCCCCACATCCTGAGGACGGGTTGGGAGGACCACACAGTGTGGACCCTCAGCCTTCAGAACCCTTTCCCGGCTGAGATGGGGAGAGACCCTCCTGCCAGTTTGAGGGGCTTTGCTTTGACCATTCTCAGGCTCCTCACAGGGACGACCCCAACACCTGGTGGCTCTGAGGGGCCCTCTTCTCGTTGCTCAGCTTCCCCCACCTTTTTCTCTAACAGCCCAGCGCTTATCTTAGGGATGGGGAGGAGCCGTGCTGTTTAGAGCAGAGGCCTTCAGGGACACAGGAGCCCTCTGGAGCAGTCATCTAAGGCGGGAGGACTGGCCAGTTTAGGGTTGTGACTCCCTCCTATCAGGTCTGCCCATTCATTTGCCTTTTCCCCTCAGAATCAAAGCTGTTCGGGGCACCAGGGTTTCACATGGATCGCGCCTGGGCCCTTGGTCTCCGCGTGTGCCCCCTCCCTCCCTCCCTCCCTCCCGGGTGGACGGCCCTTCCAGGCTCCTTTCCTTCTCTACCACTGCAGCAACTATGGCCTCCAGGGGGATGGGGCAGGGGAGTAGCACTGAGGAGAGTGGGTCGGGGACCTCTGAGAGGTCCTGGTTAAGAGCATGGGCCTCGGAGCCACTTTACTTGGGATCAGATCCTGGCTCTGCCACTTAGTACCTTGGGCAAGTTACTTTGTGTCTCTGTGCCTTAGTTTCTTCATCTGTGAAATGAGGATACATTAGTAGTATCGACCTCGTAGGGTGGTGGTGAGAGTTACATGAGCAGTGCCTGGGGAACAGAAAGCATCTATAAATGCTACGATTATTCCATTGAGCCTGGGAGATGAAGTGAGCTCTGTAGGGTCCAGAGAATATGGAATTACATCTGGCCTCTGACCCATAGGAGAGAGGAAGGCCTTTGTAGAAAGGCTTGGGAGCACTCTGTTCCCTCTCCCATCTCCTAGTCAGAGGGTCTAAGGGGAGGGTGCTCGGCAGGGCCTACAACCTGCGAGGTATGAAGCATGTCAGTGGCCTGAGGCCACCCCAGTGGCCTCTGGGAGTCTGGAGGCAAATGCAGCCCTTCCTGGCTTCCCCTGACGTGGTCCTACTTCCATACTCCTCCCAGCCTGGTTTCCCCTCTAGGAATCCAGCCCAGAGGCTAGGCAATCCTCTAGCCCATTCCAGTAGTCCCAAAGAGGAAAAGTGATTGGAATGAGATTTTAATTCAGAGAACTGCAGGGGCTTGTTCCTCCTTGCAAACTTGGTAAGTGCAGCCAAGAAACGGGGATGGAACAGGGAAGCAGGTTCTTTGGCTCTCAGTGGCTAGGACCCTATAGCCTCTACCTCTGTTTGGGACCATCCTACATCAATTTGGCCCAGGAGAAGATGCTTGATCAACATTACCATCCCAGAGTGGCAGGTCCAGCCTTTCGATGAGAAAGTCCTGGGCTTTTCACCTCTCTTCTGCCTCAGGACCTCCTGAATTGATCTCTAGCAGTTACCTCCTGTGGCTTTGGGAGCCAAGACACAATAGCTTGGAAGGATCCTTGGGATAGCTCTGGAGCAAAGAGCACAAGGGAGGGAGCCTGTACCCATCGTGGGAAAGGTGGAAGGAGATGGGAACTGCGGAGCCCCTCCTTCCGGCCAGTCCCAGAGCTCCTGCACTTTTCCCAGGGCTGGGTCTCCTACTGGTAACCTTGTTGCTGGGGAATAGCCTCCAGGGCCTCATTAAGCCAAGGGTATAAAAACAACCCCCGGGTCCCAAAGGGAAAGGGAAGGTGGAAAAGTGCATGGAGCCTGGGGATCTTTGGCAAGCAAGTATTGAGTGCCTACTTGATGCTGAGCTAGTTCCTGGGGTATAAAGATGAGATACAGGGCTGACCTCAAGAACTCTCCAGGCTAACAGGGAGTGAAATCCATAAATAACATTTACAGGAAGCATGACAAAGGGAGCTAGGGGCCACTACCTCAGCCTGGTGTGTGTGGAGGGAGGGGCACGATGAGGTCAGAAAGGGTATCCCAAAGAAGGTAAATCCTGCACTAATTACAGGATGCACTGGGAATCCCAGATCTAAAATAAAAACCTCTCTCCTGAATAAAGCGTGTTGAGCCACTGATCCAGTGTGTCCCAGAGAAGAGAAAGGGGAAAAAAAAAAAAAAAAGAAAAAAGACTTTCAGGAAGAGGGGTGAGCAGGCAGGAGTGAAGGCATGCAGGTGGAGAGCAGCCTGCTACAGCAGTACGGGCAGTGCTGCTGGGGCAGACGAGCAGCGAGGGGACAGGAGGCTGAAGACTCAGGCAGCAGCCAGGTCATCTGGGCTGCGGATCACCTTAAAAACTTTGGGCTCCATGATGTGAGCAATGAGGTGTCTTTGGTGCATTTAAAACAAGGGAGTAACATGGTTAGTTTGATGCTTTACCTTGGTGCTTAAACTTTCATGTGCACACAAATCACCTGGGATCTTGTAGCAATGAAACTTCGAATCAGTGGGTGTGTGATGTTACACAGGCTTCCAAATAGTGTTAAAGCTGCTGATCTGAGGACCGTACTTTTGAATAGCCAGGGCTATTTAGATAATCAGTCTGGAGGCTTTGAGCAGGTGTACTTGAAAGGCAACAGTACTGGAAGCAGGTTCTGACGAACACAGGAAAGTGTCGCAATGCTCCAGGAGAGCTGAAGGGGAGGCTGGGACAAAGGCAGTAATAGAAAAAAGGGATACAGGGGGCCGGGGGCCGGTCCGGTGGCACACTCGGTTGAGTGCGGCGCTTGGGAGCACGGCGGCGCTCCCACCGAGGGTTCGGATCCCATATAGAGACCGGTCCGCTCACTGGCTGAGCGCGGTGCGGGCGTGACACCGAGGGTTGCGATCCCGTTGCCGGTCACGAAAAACGACAAAAAGGAAAAAAAAAAAAAGAAAGAAAGAAAAAAGGGATACAGGGGGCCGGGGGCCGGTCCGGTGGCACACTCGGTTGAGTGCGGCGCTTGGGAGCACGGCGGCGCTCCCACCGAGGGTTCGGATCCCATATAGAGACCGGTCCGCTCACTGGCTGAGCGCGGTGCGGGCGTGACACCGAGGGTTGCGATCCCGTTGCCGGTCACGAAAAAAGACAAAAAGGAAAAAAAAAAAAAAAGAAAGAAAGAAAAAAGGGATACAGGAGGCAAAACTGGCAGAATTTAGAAGTGACCGGATTGGGTGGGGGTGGCTGCAGATGAGGGAGAGGTGAAGGATGACTCCCACCATAGTATTTCTGAAGATGCCATCAACCTGGGACCTGCTGCCCATTGAGGGAGGTCGGAGGGGAAAATACCCTAAGGAAAAAATAAATGTAGGTTTGAGACAAAATTTCCTACAAGCACACTAGTTCCTTAAATGTGCCTAGAGCCACTTGGTCAGTCAAACTTGGAACGGACTGTTCTCTTCCCGTTTCTTCATTGCTGAGCAGTATATTAGGGTCCCAGAAAAACAGCATGATTTGATATTGGGATTTACTCTGCTCTGATTATCTGACTGCTGGAATCCTTGGGTAAGCTCCTGCCACTTTCTTACTGATTTCTCAGGTCTGGGGTGGGGTTGGGGAAAGCATCCTGGGATGTCTGAGTTGGGGAACTGAGTGGCCCAGATACCTAGGTTTAGACCTGTCTACCTTGTTTTGTGATGGAGCCAGCAGCCGCACAGCGTGATCCAAAGACGCCTGGTGGAGGGAAGCCAGAGTCGGCTCCAGGGCGAGTCTCCCCTGGTGCAGGCCCTGATTCATGGCCAGGAGAGCAGGAGGAAGACCAGTAGGACAGAGACCCCAGCTCTTCTGGTCAACTGCAAGGTGAGGGGCCTCCCAGGGCACCGACCTTCATTAACAACCCTGCCTACAGCTGGCTGGCTGTCTCCACAGGCTGGTGAGGGAGGGAGGGAGAAAAGGCACCTCTCCCCCGAGCCTGGACCAGAACTGGGGTTGTCTTCTTTCCTCCCTGCCTCAACCCATCTTCCCTCTGTGCAGTCCATCTGTCACCACCAGTACTCTAGCCCTTTCCTTTATCAAAGCATAATACTTCAATGTGAATGTGAAAGTCCTCGTCAGGGTGCTCTGCAAGTCCTAGCAGTGTGTGTGCATATGGATAACGCAACCCTCCTGGAAACGGCTCCTGTGTCCCAAGGTGATGACCCTGTCATCCCTGGAGCTGTTTAGCCACCTGATGGCTGTAGAACCCAGTCAATGCCCACTGCTCTTCTGCTGCGTCTCTGCTCGCTGTTTCCCCTGCCTGGAGAGCTCTCCTCCTGCTCCCCACTGTCCACACTCTACTGTCTTTTAAGGCCCAGCTCAGATGTGACCTCCTCCTTGAAACCTTTCCGACTTCTCCAGTAGGAAACCGCCTTTCCTCCTCTCAACCCCCAGGGCCTTTATTCACAACCTCTCACAGACCTTCGGACTTTCTACCACACCGTAGAGCTACGTTTACTTCCTTTAGACTCCTAAGGAAGAGCGTTCACTGACGGACCTTCCAGCAACACACCTTATGCACAGCAGATGCTCGATACATGCTTGGGATGGGAAACGACGTGCGTGTGAATGCCCTGGGCATACCAAACGTCTGCGCACATCCCAGAGAGTGAACTCGCAGTCTCCCTTTGTCTCCAGTGGTGAACCTCCTGGTTGCCCACATTTGAGTTTTCTAACAAGAGATCCCAGTCTTCTCATCCCTCCTTTCTTCCTAACCTGAAGTTCTCTAACCAGGAGGTCCCTCAACCTCCCAAACCTCCATTTCTGGCCAGATCTTTTCGAAGATTCCTTTACCTGAGAGTCAATTTTGCCTCAATTGTAGGAGTCCCATAAATTTTAAATGAACTATTCCCTCCACTTATTTCTAAATCAAAGGTTGGGAAAATGGAAGGATCCAAGCCCAGTCCATTCTCCTGGGGGCTCACTGGTCCACCGCAATCCCTCTTTCTCAGTGCCGGGACCAGCTGCTTAGAGTGGCCGTGGACACAGGCACCCAGCACAATCGGATCTCCGCTGGATGCCTCAGCCGCCTGGGGTAAGTAAGAGCGTGGCCCAAACAAGCGAGTGAGGGATGTGGCTTCTTTTTGCGGTGACACAAATATTTTCAAACTAGATCGTGGTGATGGTTGCACAATTCTGTAAATACACTAAAAGCTACTGAACTGTACACTTTGAAGAGTGAATTTTATGGTTTATGAATTATGTCTCAATAAAGCTGTTACAAAAAAAAAAAAAAAAGAGTGGCTAGGAGGCCTTGGCAGGGAAGACAATCCATGTGGTGCCAGGGATTGCAGGAGAATCCAAAGTACAGTAGAGAGGGACATGAGCTGATTAATGGAGGTGGAAGAGGGGGATGTGGTGGCCATAACCCTTGCTTCCCAACCACAGGTTAGGGACGAGGGTCCTAAAAGCCCCAGGTGGGGACCTGACTCCTGGGCCCCCGACCCAGGTGGAGCAGCTGGAGCTACAGCTGGGGCAGGAGACTGTGGCATGCTCGGCCCAGGTGGTGGGTAAGTCCTTCCTTCACCAACAGCCAGCTGCTCGCCTTTTCCACTGTTCTCTTCCAGGTGGGGCGAAGGCAGAGACTTTCAGCCCCTGCTAGTACCAGGTGTCCCCAGGATGCTCTGATATCCCTAATCTCTGTGACAGTGTTCCCAGACCTGGGGGATGGGGTGGGCAGAGAAGGGCTGAGTGCTGAGAGGAGGGCAGTGACTGCTGGGCACGTTCAGACCCTTCTGTTTTCACATGGTTCCTGCAGATGTCGAGAGCCCTGAGCTCTGTCTTGGACTGCAGACTCTGCTTTCTCTCAAGGTAAGGCACCCACACCGGGGCCCGACCCAAGGTACTGGGAAAAGAGGTAGAAGGCACGGCTGTGCAGCACGATCGGGTTCTGTGAGAGGGACTTGGAGACGCACAATTTCACCTTTTAGGGGCTCTTTAGTTACCCACAAGCAAAAAACTCGAGAGAGCCGGGTCCCTCCCTGCCACAGGTCCAGGTGAATGGGAACAGGGGAAGAGCAAGGAGCAGGTGGGAGCTGTGGAAGGTGGGAAGGGGACAGAAGAGAGTGGGCTGGGGGAGGTGACCTCTCATTCCTTGCTGCACACCCCCAGTGCTGCATCGACCTGGAACGCGGAGTGCTGCGGCTGAAAGCCCCGTTCTCAGAGCTGCCCTTCCTGCCTGTGTACCAAGAGCCCAGCCAGTGACCACAGTCCCAGTCAGTCCCCAGGGGAAATGCCGTGCCTTGGAGAAAGAGCCGTGTGGGGAACAGGGGCATTACTGGAGCCGGGTAGCTGGGGACTACTGTGTCTGTCCCTTTTATCACCACCTGACCCCCGCTGTCCCACTTCTCTTGGTCGGCCACTTTCTTCTCTGCTTCTCAGCAGCTGTCCTACCTCCTAGGAGTTTTCACCAGAGGGCCTATGATCCCGGGGTTCTGGTTTCCCTGTTCTCTCTCATTCCCCTCCCAAGAAGAGCAAAGCCAGAGCAGGACTGCAAGGGACCTGACCCTCCAGGCTTGGCCCTCGGCATGGTAGGAACTGGCCCGAGTCAAAGGCTGAAGCAACGCTGTCCCCACCTGCCCCCAACTCCACCCCAAACACCACTCACCTGCGCTCACTCCCAGGTCTCTCACCTCACCTGGGGTCCATTAGCTCCCACTAGACTGCCGTGCCTCTTCCACCCGGGCCCCTGCTCTCACTCTGCCCTGCTGTCACCTGCCTTTCCCAGTCTGAGCACGTGTGCTCATGGCTGAGAGGGGAAGATACTAAGCAGAGTAACTCAGTACAACAAAGAAGGTGAGTTAGTGCAGGAATGTCCAGCTTATCAGGCTAAGAGCTTTTATTAGTTACCTTTTCTGAGGTTGGAAACATCTGAAGCCAGTTATTATTTGATTACTCTGTGCAAAGCCTTGGGTTTACCTCTAATATTTACTCCAGATATTTACCCTTCTCTGCTTGCTTCTTGCAACCACTGGGCCCTTGAACTTTGCGGTGTATATGGAGAACCCTGAAGAGAACTGCCCCTACAAACTGGACAGGATGATAGGGCTGTCAGTCCTCAGACATGACCTATCCAGTGTTCTTTCTTCTTTCTAGAACTATCCACCTCATTATGCCTTCTTCCTACCCCTTATCTCTGGTCTCCTGAGTGTAAGCTTGTCTTGTCCTGGAATCAGTGGCTTTCTATCCCCTACCAGGCTCTCAGCCAAAGCAAAAAGATGCTCTTCTGACTTTACTGTGGGGAGAAAACCCCAAACCGTAAGGAGCCAGACCTCTGAGTGTCTTTCTGGCTGATTTTAGACTCTCAAATCATGGACTAGGGGTAAAGAAAGTGGTGTAACTAACCTGAACCACAGAACTGGGACCCTTGGGCTGGAAACAGATGCTTGAGCCTGGGGTAGATGAAATTGGAGAAGGAAAGGGATGCGAGGAGCTGCCCAGGACCCCTGCCCTCAGAAGGAAAGGAGAGGGGCATGCTATCACATGTGTCACAGTATGTGGTCTCCAAGTCCTCCAGGATTCTCTCCCCCACGCTGCCTTGCCCCATGGCCTCTGCTTTCCTGGGTCTTGCCCCGTCCCTCTGTCTATCCGCCTCCTGTTGCTTCTGTAACCGCAGACGCCAGGCCCAATGGCAGGCCCTCAGCTCAGCTGCTTCTCCATTTGAATAAACACCTGTTTCTCTAGGCAGATGTTCTTCTCTGGTCTTCCTCCTGCCAATCAGGAGCGGAATGGTAACTCCGCCCTTACTCCCTTACAGAAAGAAATGTGAATGGGTACAGGCTCTTCCCCAGGTAGACCCGTCGACTGGGGCCAATACAATCGACAGCAACAGCTTTCACACTCCTCTGACCACAACCCACAGTAGGAAGCGTATTTTACCTCACACTCAGTACACGTGTACACATACAACTGTAACATAACAATATTTACCTACCCTGTGAGCAGTGTACTCTGATATTTGCTATTTTACCTTATTCTATTGTATTTATTTAAAAAATGCTGGCCACAACCCTAAAGGATTGCAACCTACAACATGAAAAACACTGATTTATATCACAGAGAATCAAGAGCAGAAGGGACATAAACGACCAAAGGTATAATTCTGACTGTGGTCTAGATCGTAAACCTGCATCACAGTTTCTTCTTTGGTGGCTGGCCAGTACGGGGATCTGAACCCTTGCCCTTGCTGCTGTCAGCACTATGCTCTCCCAAGTGACCCTGCATCAGATTTTAAACGTCTATTGTCTTATAGACAGGAAGGTGTTTTGGGGGAAATGGGAGCAAGGCCTGTGGAGCAGCGCAGTACTTGAAGACTACGGCACGACGAGAAGGCACTGACCCAGCTGCTTTGGGAAATGGAGGAAAATCATCTCTGGGTTGCTGGGAACACAAGTTACATAAGTAAAATGCCCCGAAGGACCCCTCAAAACAAAACCGATGGTCTGCCCTTCCTGCAGTAATTACTGATGCCGATTACATGAGAGATGGCGCTCGGGAGGGCTGCAGCCCTCACTGCTCGCTGGGCCCGAGGCCTGGCTTCCTCACGGGCGCTGGGGCCGTGCAAAAGACCTGTACTCCCCTCACATGCCGGTCTCTGTTTTCCACACAGTGACAGTGGGGAGTTTAGGGAGGGGCAGGGGGTTTCCATATGATCTAAAACAAGCCCGGGGTCTTATGAGCCTGCTGATGTGACTGATGGGTGGGGTCCACGAGGAAATGGGCAACTTGTCTCTTTGCCAAAAAGACCGTGAATTCTATATTTCATGGTAACCCAGGGGTTGTCCCATCTGTCCAGGCCCAGAGTCAAATCCTGCTCCTTTGGAATGGATATTCCCTGTCTTGCCAATGCCTTAATACCTACGGGGGTGGGGCTCAGGAGGACCCTTCCCCAGCTAAGAGGGCACGCCCTGCTAGGTGGGATCCCGGAGGCCTGAGGGTGCACATGGCGGTGGCTGGTCCGGATGGTAGAGCGTTTGGTGAAGCAGGGTGCGGGCTGCAGGGAGGTCATCAGGATCTGAGGGCCAAAAGGGGCTGGTAAGAGGCTGCGGGTTTCCTAGTCCGCTGGGCGACCCCTTTCCTGGGACTCACCCACGCCCAGCTCCTGCAGCAGGCTGTGGTACTCCGGCTCAGCCTCCAGCAGTTTCAGCAAGTTGGTGGACTCCATGCGTTCCAGCTGCACCTCCCAGTACACATAGATCTTCTGGTTGAAAGTGACGTACACGAGGCAGGGGCTGTTGCGACCTTCTTTGCAGGCGTAGAGGCCTGGGAGGTGTGGGCCGCAAGACAAAGTTGGAGAAGTCTCAGTGTGGGTGGCAGGAGGGTGGATGGCGAGGCACACACTTCAGGTCAACAGTTCCCACCCTGCCACCAATGTCAAGCCCAAACTAAGGCCCTCTGTCTTCTTCTTCTCTGTTGGGAACTCAATAAAACAGGTAAAACAGGAAAATATCTGGCCTATTCCAGATATGGAAAAACCATAGTAACAAAATCAGGCAAAACAGCATCCAAAAAGATGATGTTTGTTGATTTTCCCATCTTGGTGACACCCCTGGAGTAATGAGGGACACCTTCCTAGCCCGAGGGGTGGATTAACAAACACAGTCAGGAAGTACAGCTTCTCCCGGGTGTCAATCCCTTCTTCCAAGACATGTATATTAACCCTTCAGGTCACCAGACTTTGTACTCCAGTGCTGTTCTGTTCTTATCACTTTAGTAACCAAACATATCTCCTAGTCACCCACAGAGTCAGCGCTGCTTTCCAAGGTCCCCAATTTGGAACTAATGAGAATGCTCTGGGAGAATTTTTCTTTTTTTTTTTTTTTAAAGATGACCGGTAAGGGGATCTTAACCCTTGACTTGGTGTTGTCAGCACCACGCTCAGCCAGTGAGCAAACCGGCCATCCCTATATAGGGATCCGAACCCGAGGCCTTGGTGTTATCAGCACCACACTCTACCGAGTGAGCCACGGGCCAGCCCCGGTAAGGGAATCTTAACCCTTGACTTGGTGTCAGCACCATACTCACCCAGTGAGCTAACCGGCCATCCCTATATGGGATCCGAACCCGTGGCCTTGGTGTTATCAGCACCGCACTCTCCCGAGTGAGCCACGGGCCGGTCCCAAGATCTCACTGTCTTTTATTCCTTCCTATTTAAAACTGTCAAGGTGGCCATGTAGAACCCACCCATCACTCTCTAAATAAAGAAAGGGTTGAAGAACTCATTCATTTGTGAAGACTTACATGAGGGGACATGTGGAGAGCAGAAGTGAGAAACAAACATTTATCTAACATAAGCGTGGTCAGAGAGGGGCCGTGGGCCAGGGTCCCACCTGCACAGAAGGCACGGATATTTTCATCCACTTGGAAGCGGACGACGGTGCGGCTGTGGTCAATAATATATGTCTGTCCATCCCAGGCACATGCGACTACCTCCTCACACCCATTACCCTGAAAGAGGCCAGAAACGAGGATGCAGGAGTGGCAAGTGGCCATTTCAGAAAGAGATGGGGCTGGATGTGATGTGATGGGGCTGTGGACACGATTCTGCTGACAAACAGTGGGCTGGAAGGACTCCTCCCACATGCCAGGCACCACACGGGGCTGCCAAACAAACCTCCTCACTAAGGCTCACACACCCTAGGAAGGAGGCAACGTTATTCCCTATTTCATACTGAGAAAACTGCAGATGATAGACATAAAGTCACTGGCCCAAGGTCACTCAGCCAAGCTTAGCTCAGGAGGAAGCAGAGTCAGGACTCAGGTCTGCTCCACCTGACTTCAAAGCCTCATGCCATCTCCTCCACCATCAAGCATGCACGATGGCAGTGTAAAGTGTGGCCCCATCTGCTGATTCAGGGGCCGCGGTGCTATTAAATAGAGACTCACTTAAGGAAAAGAAAAGACTACAACACGTACATCTGGAGTTGGGACTAATAACTCACTTGTGGACTCTTAGAGTAACTTGTTTTTCTTTGGGCTAATGACTTCTGAAAGGTATGGAAATAAGAGATTTTCCAGCAGCACAGTAAAGAACAGTGTTAAATACTGTGGAGTAGGAGGAAACAAGTTCACTTCAGATGGATTTAGAGCTGGCTAAGGAGACAGATCAAGGTTGAGAGTTAACTGGGACTTGAGAGAGGCCTGAGTTACATCTCATCTCTCCACGCAGAGAAGCCAAGAATATTTCACTCCGCCAGGCTTTCCACTTACCGTGACATCTAACTTCTCTAGGGCGAAAAGCTGGTGATCCACCTGTACCGACCACAGCAGCTTGTCTGCTTCCTCCATAAGCTTCAGGGTCCCTGCAGGGGGAGGGAAGGCCAGGGGTGGGTGGGACAGGCCCCTGAGCAGACCCCACAGGCGTACAACCCCCACCCCAACCCCGCACTGCTCACCATCCAGGGTGCACAGGGCAAAGAGGCCAGAGCCACTGCTGTCAGGGTTGTGGCCTGGGGGTGGGACAGAAGGACAAGAAGAAGAAAATGTGAAGGGCAGGGCAAGATCAGCGCCTCCAGCAGGGAAGGTAGCACCTCCCCTACCCCAGGACTGGTGCTGGCCCCATCCCACCTGCACCTTGCTTGATGTTGCCGATCAGGTGAGTGGAGACATTCTTGTTGTGGATGCGGCCAGATGTCTGGTGCAGCACTACATCTCGGGCAGCTGGAGTCTCCCTGTGGGCGGGAGTGAGGGGCAAGTGGGAAACCATGTGAGCTGAGTTTTCCAGTTCCTTGTGGCCACTGTCACTGTAAGAGCTTCCAGGATTTGAATCAGCTTGGAAGCTTCTCACTGACTCCATTGGGCCCATGTGGCAGGTAGAAAAGAGAGGGATGGGGCTGCCAGGTTGGAAGCTGGGAACCTCTTTCAGGTGCTATAAGGCTAAAGCCTAGGATTCCCAAATAATCTTCCTTAATGGGACAATGGTGCTCGGGCTGGGACCTTGGTGAAGCCACTCTGTCACCTGCAGACCATCTCACCACCAGGTGCCATCTGGAGCCCATCTTGTGTCCATGCACCCCACCCCACCTGCAGGCCTGCACCCCCTACCTACTGCCCTCTGCAGCCCCCTCAGAGGCAGGAGGGGACCCAGCGTCCTTGTTCCAGGTGCACAGTAGAACTGCGTAGGCACAGCCTGGCTGAGACACCATCAGTTCAGGAACACCCAGTGGCCCTGGAGTCACCGAGAGACTGTCCACCTGCACCAGGGAACGGGGGTGGAGAGAGAAGGACATGGGACACTGCAGAGAACAGGAGAGAGGCAGGGCAGGGGTCACGGGGCTCCCTCCTGGCACCGTCCTCTCCACAAAGTGTCCGGCTTTCCACTGTGCGTGCAGGTCCTGATGCCACACCCACACCCACCTCCACACGCCGGCTGTGTCACCCAGTGTTCCCTCCACTAAGGCCCTGACTTGATATGATCTTTGGATCTCTCTCAACAAGGTGATTTTTCCCATGCTCCCACCCTGGCCCTGTTCCACGACTGTTTTCCCACCAGCCCCTCCAGGAGGCCTTTTTCCCGCTCCCTGGGTGCCTGGGTTCCCAAACTCAGCCCCTACCTGACCCTCCAGCATCCATTTCTTGAGGGACACCAGCTGCCCTGTTAGATGCTCGGTGCCCTCACCCAGATCCTCCCAGCGGAAGGCCCGCACCACACGATCTGTGTAACCTATCACCAGCTCGCGACACCCGTCTCCATCTGTGGGCACAGAGAACAAGAGAGGTATGAAGCCACGTCTGTGTTGGTCAGCTGGATCCTGCGAGCACCTCCCTGGCCCAAGGCTCGCGGCCAACACTGCCACCCCCACGGCCTGCCACGCTCGTCACCATCATCGCGTCCGGAGTCATCCCACACACCTAGCACCACCTCCAAGATGGCTTCAGGCCAAAACAGCGGCCCTGCATCTGCACAGCTCCCTCCCTTGCCACTTTCAGTCCCTTACCAAATGTCACCTTCTCAGCATGAGAGACCCATTTAAAACTGCTAACTGTACCTCGACACTCTAGCACCTTTTATTTTCTCCATAGCACACTTATTACCTTCTAACGTAGTATTTCCTTTTCTCACAAAAGTCATATTGTTTCCTTCCCCTCTCTTCCCAGTAAGGTCTAAGAGGGCAGTGGGATTTGTCTGTCTGTGCACCACTGCAACCCCAGTGCCCCAAACGACGCCTGGCTTATTGTGGGAGCTCAGGAACTCTACATAAACACATAACAAATGCCTAAGTGAACATGGATCTCCCACTCACCCAGACCCCTCGAGGTCTGCTCTAACACCCACCGACTCCTGCCGACAGCCATGCTCACCGATGTCGCTGATCAGCATGACCTTGGTGTTGGCAGGGATGTGCTGCTTGAAGACTGGACGCTGCTCCTCTCCTATTAGTGTCTCGTGGTGCCCGGAAGCATCCAGGACCTTGGCAGGTGTCAGGTCAAACAAGTGAAACCAGCCCTCAGCGCTCACCGCCACCACCAGGTTCTGGGAGACAGAGGTATAGGAGAGAAGCACTGGGGAGGGGGCTCTGGGTACAAGCCTGATAATTAGATCACGGAGGTCAGGGATAAAGCCTTTAACTCTCCACTGATTTCTACTGTGAGATAAGGATCGAGTTAAGGCCTTGGAGTTCTACCAAAGTCCCAAGGCCTCCTAGAGTTCTTACCTTTCCTTTATTACAAACATCTCCAACTCCAACGCAAGTCAGCTGCAAGAGAGAAAGGGAGGCTTAGGGAAACACCAAGGGAGACCAGTACTCTCTAATCTCTGTGAAGCAAGGAGCAGATTTTCTAGCAACCATCATTCACTGAAAACTTGTGCCACATGATCTGCATTGATAGTCTTTATTAATGCATTAATGCAGAGAGCAATATCAAAACCTGAGGTAGTTAAGACAATTCTGGCTTTAAACAAAACAAAAAACCCTACATTTGATAGAGCTAGACTACCATATTTCTAGACTTATTCAAATTATTGTGCCCATTTTTTACTATACTTTATAAGATCAGACAACTTTAGACAGCTTCCATAAAATACCAGGGGGTACCCTACAACATAAAAAACGCCCCAGCCTCATGTATGTGGATGTGTGGAGGGCGTGCGATGAGAGCACTGCCTGGAGGCTGCTCGCCCCATCAAATTAGCCAGGAAGCGGTGGATGGGCTGAGTGGCGGGGGAGTCAAGACACATAAGTGAGCTCCCATGTGGGACTCGCCTCTGGCAGTCCCCGGGCAGAAGGGACCCCCCACCCCAGGCCTGGGGAGGTGGATACTGACCATTCCCTGGCAGAAACAGGTGAGCCATGGCCGGCTGTCGTCATTCTTGTACACGGACAGCTTTCCGCTGGTGTCTCCCACCACCAGCTCGTTTAACTTCAGATGGAGAGAGAGGGGCATGTTAGGCCGAATCCTGCTGAATCACCACTGCGAGCTCCTCTCCACCTGGCCTAAACCACACAAATCAGGAGACCTCACTCCGATCTTTGTCAACCTCATTAAAAATCTTTTGAGACCAACATAGCATAGTTTCCCAGAATTTCTTTAGTCTTATCTGGAGGCACGTGTGTGTGTTGGGGGCAGAAGTTAGAGGAGGAGGCTGTACGGAATCTGTGGTCCATCCTGAAAAGTCTGACACCTGACCAGTTCTATGCTCCACATGCCTGGCTCTTCCAATTTGGTCATTACAAATGGGATGTGTTTTGAAAACAGCCCAAGATATGGAACTTTTGGAAAATCTAACTTTAGACCTCATATTCAATCAGGGGCCAAATATAAAGAAAGCGCCAGCCTCTGGGGCCCTCCCTATTCTGGCAAGTCCTTTTGATCGCAAAGCGTGCCTGTGAACACAGAGGGGACAGTGGTGCCTGAGGGGACAAAGCCTGCGGGGCTTGCTGTGTCGGCATCCCTGTGCTGGCCTGTGGTGCCCTCAAGTGGTGGCTGAGCTTGCAGGAAAGGGGTCCCTGCACAGAGACTCTTTACCATTTGCATCTGGGTAGCCGCCCTTTCCAGGGGCTAACGATGATAACCAGGTGGCTCCAAACCCTATTTCTACAAACAGCTTTGTGATTTTCTCTTTGGGGTACAGCCAAAATTCTCTTCCTGTCCCCAAAATAGAGTGAAATGATATTAGATTCTCAAGAGATTTAATTCTTTTTTTTTTTTTTTTTTAAAGATGACTGGTAAGGGGATCTCCACCCTTGGCTTGGTGTTGTCAGCACCACGCTCAGCCAGTGAGCCAACCAGCCATCCCTATATAGGATCCGAACCCGTGGCCTTGGTGTTATCAGCACCGCACTCTACCGAGTGAGCCACGGGCCGGCCTTCAAGAGATTTAATTCTGAAGGCAAAGAGATAACAGACCAACAGTAAGAAAAAATCAGAAACAAATTGGGATTTATTAATAATGATTTATTTGAATCGTAGATTTGTTAATAGTTATGGGAGTTACTGTTGAGACTATTAGCTCATAGAAGCATAAAATGAGTTTATTTACATCAAACCATCTATACCTGATGTTTTAATTACAGCTGCCCGAAGACTTCTGCAGACACCCAGGAGAGAGGCTGCACAGTGCAGAGGTTCAGGGCACAACTGCCTGGATTTGAATCGAGCTCTCTGTCTACATTTTTCCATCTATAAATCGAGGATAATAAGAGTATCTACCTTTTAAGGTTGTTGTGGGAATCAAACTAATAGAGGAAAGCATTTAGAATAGTGATTGGCATATAGTGAGTACTGATACTGGTGGTTTTTCAGCCTATAGTGAAACTCCTACAATGCTAGGAAACTTTGCATCTTTCATACAATTCGTTCTTTTTTATACCGTCATTAAACAAAAGCCACAGTAACACCACTGACAACACCAAGCCAAGGGTTAAGATCCTCTTACTGATCATCTTTTAAAAAATAAATAAATAAATAAAAAAAAATAAAATGTCAACCATTTTAGCTTTAAAGTGACCTATATGTACTTACTCTGCCCAAAAAGATCTTACATATAAAACAATCTGATAACCAAAGCACACTCAGTGGCCTAATCAAAACAATGTACACTAGAGGGACTAAAATCTGGGTGATAACAAGATAAGCCATGCTTTTGTCTGAGCATTATTATTATTTTTTTTAAAAGATGACCAGTAAGGGCCGGCCTGTGGCTCACTCGGTAGAGTGCGGTGCTGATCCCCTTACCAGTCATCTTTAAAAAAAAAAAAAAAAAAAAAAAAGTCTGAGCATTATTAATAAGATTTCTCAGGTTGCTGTTTTCCTTAGTAACACAGCTGAAGAGTTAAGCGAAAGGTAGACAACTCTTGTAAACTGAGTCAGTGGGCATCACGCACTGCTGTAAGAGTTGGGAAGACAGCAGTGAAAAAAAGATTTTAAAAGTCTTCTCATTATGGAGCTTACAACTCAAGTGAAAAAAAAAGTAGTATAATACACCTAATATAGCAGAACTGAGTGTGTAATAGTGCAATTCACTTAGAGAAGTACAATTTCAAAAATGCTGGTGCTATGAAGTTATGAAAAATACTATTTTTCCTTTTTAACAAAGAAGATAATCAGATTAAATGGAAAATAATGCCCATATAAAGTCTTTGTTAATTTACTATTTTAAAATGCCTCCCTTGATTTTCTCATGAAATTGTACTGCTTGGCATATGAAGAAAATATGAAAGCCCAGAAAACCTGATACAAATTTATGAGAAAAACTCTTCCCTCCCTAGAGGAGGTGGAGCCAAAAGAGGCCTCATAAAATACCTTTTCCATCACAGCACTAGGGAGCACTAGGAAAAAAGGATGCTTTAACCCTAGTCTTTCTAGGCGTAGGAGGTGGGGAGAAGAGCACAACAGTTAGGGAGGTGAGGATGAGAAAGCAGGGAGCCAGAGCAGGGAGAGAGGGCAGAGAGTAGGAGAGGAGGATAATATGGTGCTTTGCATTAGAAATATGGAACAGATGGGCCGGCCCGGTGGCGCACTGCTGTAGTGCGCCGCTTGGGAAGCGTGGAGGCGCTCCCACCGAGGGTTCGGATCCCACATACAGACCGGTTCCCGCTCACTGGCTGAGCGAGGCGCGGGGGCAGCACCGAGGGTTGCGATCCCGTTGCCGGTCCCGGTCCGGTACGGGGGCGACACTGAGGGTTGCGATCTGTTGCCATATGAAGAAAATATGAAAGCCCAGAAAACCTGATACAAATTTATGAGAAAAACTCTTCCCTCCCTAGAGGAGGTGGAGCCAAAAGAGGCCTCATAAAATACCTTTTCCATCACAGCACTAGGGAGCACTAGGAAAAAAGGATGCTTTAACCCTAGTCTTTCTAGGCGTAGGAGGTGGGGAGAAGAGCACAACAGTTAGGGAGGTGAGGATGAGAAAGCAGGGAGCCAGAGCAGGGAGAGAGGGCAGAGAGTAGGAGAGGAGGATAATATGGTGCTTTGCATTAGAAATATGGAACAGATGGGCCGGCCCGGTGGCGCACTGCTGTAGTGCGCCGCTTGGGAAGCGTGGAGGCGCTCCCACCGAGGGTTCGGATCCCACATACAGACCGGTTCCCGCTCACTGGCTGAGCGAGGCGCGGGGGCAGCACCGAGGGTTGCGATCCCGTTGCCGGTCCCGGTCCGGTACGGGGGCGACACTGAGGGTTGCGATCCGTTGCCGGACACGCAAAAAGACAAAAAAAAAAAAAAAGAAATATGGAACAGAGATAATGAATGAAAAGAAAGTCTAAAAAAAAAGGAGCATCCAACACCATCCCCTTTAATTCTCTACCAGAGAACACCCTACGTATTTTAATGAATGCACCTCATTATATTTTGTTATTCTTGTGACTATCACCCAACCTGATTATGAACTACCTGAGGACTGGGATTGTCTTGTTCATTTTTGAGTTCCCAGAATGTAGCAGAGTCCTTGGCGCATAATGGGCAGTTCAATAAAGATTTGCAGAAAAATAGAATCAAATAATAAGAAGAAAGCTAACACTTGCTGAATATTAACTGTGTGCCAAGCATTATTCACCTGCTTTACCGGTATTAATTTATTTAAACAAGAAAAGAAAGGACTTCTGGGAAGAAAAGGTAAACGGGAATGGCGTCTGGAATCCAGCACAGGTGCAGCCCCGCAGAGCCGCCGGACCCCTGCGTTTGCTGTGGCGCAGGCTCTGCAGACAGCCGCCGGGTTAGGACTGCGGGCTGGGGGACCAGGCGACGGAGCGCGCGGGTCTGCGCCGGCGCGGGGCGCCCCAAGCCTACGCTCCGCCCCGAGGGGGGCTGACTCTGTGAGGGCAGGAGCCGAGCATAGGCAGAGCCGAGGAAAAGTTGAAGCTTTGGAAGGTAAAGTGACTTGAGAGGTGATGTCACTGGCGGAGACTTAGCTCCGAAGCAGCTGGTCCAAGAAACCCGGCCACCAGAATTTGCCAGGCTCCTACAGTGCACAATTTGCCGAATTTAGGCAAAAGGATCAACTATCTCCCCGCTAGAATGTACTCCTGGGGTGCTAGATGGTGCTGTCCGGACACTGAAGTTATCAATAAAGTTTCTCTCTTTAGCCCGCAGCCCGGCCCCGATGCGCATGCTCACCGCCCGCGCGGCCCGCCTCGCGCCTGCCCGCGCCTGCGCAGACCCGGGCCCTGTCTCCCGCAGTGCGCATGCACGTACCGTGTCGTTGTCGGCGTCTCCGAGGCAGAGAGCGTGCGGGAAGAGGCTCCCGCTAAACTCCAGCGCCACGCGCTGCACGTAGCTCACCGACCTCATGGCGCTTCCGAGGGCCGAGGCATCGGGGAGCGTCCCTAAATAGTTCCCGAGCCCCCTCCCGACAGACGCCCGAGCCGAAGGCCACCCAAACCTCCAATGGCTGCCCTCCCTTGACTTTAGGGAGGAGGCGGGTCTTCCGAGCCTCGGGGCGGGCTTATCCCAGCTCTTGGTGTGAGTGACAGGGCAGTGGACCACTGCCTTTGTCCACAGGGTGGGAGCGCATGGGTAGACCAATCCTGACGTGGCCGACCTGTTCCCTTGGCAACAGGGCTTCCAGGGCTTGACCTAATAACCTTGACCTCTTCCTTTGTTGCCCCGGCGATGAAGAGTCCTAGCTGTGGGGCCATCCTTGAGAATCTAAGAACTGACAATTGTATGGTTTCCAATAGTGTTTTTTATTTTTATTTATTTATTTATTTATTTTTAAAGATGACCGGTAAGGGGATCTTAACCCTTGACTTGGTGTTGTCAGCACCACGCTCAGCCAGTGAGCGAACCGGCCATCCCTATATGGGATCCGAACCCGCGGCCTTGGTGTTATCAGCACCGCACTCTCCCGAGTGAGCCACGGGCCGGCCCCTCCAATAGTGTTTTTTAAAAAAACTAGCTACCCATTAGTGGTCAAGAACATAATGTGCTGAATTGCAACCAGGGTTTAAAAAAATTAAATACAATAGAAAATACCAAGTAACTCCCGAGCAATAACGTTGGTATTGTTTTTGTGAAATCTTTGTTTCAAGTGTTTATATTATGTGTATACTGGCTTATAATGTAAAAAAAAATTTTTTTTACTGTGTCTGTGCTTCGTGATCAAGTTTGAGAGCCACCCGCTGCAAAACACATTTCACATATATTACGAGTAATTAGCACAACCACCATGTGAGCTTGTGTTATTATTCTGGTTTTTTTCTTGGATGAGGAAAACACATTCTGCACGATTAAGTAAGGTAACTGAAAGTGGTGGAGGTGGGACTCAAACCAGAATTGACTCAAACCCCCAGGGCCTTTCTTTCATTTACTGCCATAGTTCCTAGAAAAGTACTCAGGCTGGAAGTGAGGGTTGCTACGGTTCTGGATCTGCTCTGCCTTGCTCCCCCCATTCCCAGCACAAAGCTCTTGCCTCTCCCTCAAGGGACTTACCCTGTAGCACGGATGAGACCATTACTCTCCTGGCTGGCCTCTTAGGGATGCTTTCCATGTTGAATCCAGTCCTGCCTTTCTATTGGGGTGCCTCATCAAACAAGGTAATAAGAGTATTATCTATGAAATCCTACAGATGCTGTATTAGTCCTTTTTGTGTTGCTTTAAGGAATACCTGAGACTGGGTGATTTATAAAGAAAAACGAAATTTATTGCTTACAGTTTCTGAGGCTAGGAAGTCCAAAGTCCATCTGGTGGTGGCGACAGTGACCCAGGGGTCTCACATTGCAAGATGGTGAAAGCAGAGACTGCAGAAAGAAAAAAAACAGACTCTCCTCCCTCAGAAACATGCTTCTGATCACCATTTTTAATCCGTTCACTAGTGCACAATCCTACAATCCAATCACCTCTTCAAGGATCCACCTTTCAATTACCAGAATAGGATTTTCCACCCTCTTAACAGTCACAGGGGGGCTAAGTTTCTAACACATAAATTTGGGAACACAATTCAAGCTTCAGTGAGTTTTGGGGGAACATAATTCAATCCACTACAGATGCCTAATACATTTTTAGAGTTAGGTCTGTAAGCCCAGGCTGATTTACACTTGGTCTTTCAGGAAAAATAAGGTTATCTACTTCACCTGGGGATGTTGGACCAGAGTCTGGTCCTACTTTCTATATCTGAACATAGTGGGAGAAGGCCGGAGGGCAGGACCTTTTTTCCTAGGGGAAGTGAAAGGAGGATGGCAGACTTTCTCCTAAAGGTCCAAATTGGTCTGCCAGCCAGATAAGGTGAGAAGAGCAGGACAGAACAGTAAACAGGAGGCAATCTAGACAAATATTGGAGCGTACAGATACACTTCTGGTGGTGTACTTTGGGGATGCCCAGGTCCATTTAAAGGTGCTGGGTCACAGGTATATCTGGTGCTTTAAAAACTGAAGCTCATTTATGGAGGGGTTGCATGGTACCTTGCCCTGTGTTCTACCAACACTCTATTCTCTCATCCTAGCTCAAACTCTAAGCTTTATATTAGGATTTAAGGCGTGGGAAAACAAAAACCAATTTTAAAATGTTTACCTCTAAATGTAAAGTTAAACTCTTTTTTTTTGACAGCTGGCTGGTATGGGGATCTGAACCCAAGTTAAGTAGTTTTGAATTATGTTTTGTTGTATTGTTTTACTGTTTTCTCTTTTTTCAGCCCTCTGAATGAAATTGTAAAATAAATATATTAATAAACAACTCAGGACAAAATAAATGAGGATCAGCCTGCTTCTGGCATCAGGTGCCCTGGCCTGACCCAATTCTCTGAAACCATACCTTGACCCAGCACTCCGCAATGGCTGTTTATCTTCCTCATCATTTGGGCTTATTGTTCTGGATCTTTGGGTGCCAGGGGGTTTCTGTTTTTGCTTATAGACTATATTTGCCATGAAGGATGTCATTATAATCACAACTTGGATACCATGTTTTCTGGCTTTCTGTCAAGAGAGCCAAATAAAGCTAGTAAGGGAGGAAAGATGTGTCTCCCAAGAAATAGGGCATGAATCAAGTGTTTCCACACCAGTGCCTCTCCCCACCTTGCATCATTGTACATTTGAGTGTTATGTTCAGTCAGTGGAATACACAGCGAGGCATCGCAGAGCCATGTGGACATATTCTGGCTTCGCAAGGAGCACCCCTGTTCTTGGCCCTTTCTGGTAGGATGGCTGGTGGGTCTCTACTGGCACCATCTAGGATCCATCTTGTCTAAGCCATCTTTCAGCATGGCTTTTGGCTTACTCTCCAGAACTTTCTAACCAGGCCATCTTCCTGGTTAAGTTGTGTGGGTGGCTTATTCTTTACAAATCAGATAAATGATAGCCTTAATAGAAACCTTCACAGGAGGCAATGTGGGTGGGGGAAATAGGAAGCATTTCTAGAATGATTCTTTGTCCACTTCATACTCCATGAATAGACAGAGTGGCCCTATCCAAGTTCTGTCTGCCCAGAGTGCCCAGGTGAGAAACCGGACCCTCAAAGCTTTCTACACGAGGCCCAGAGCCATTTAGCACCCTGCGGGCAGGGCCCAGGGCTTCCTATCACCATACTCCTCCCCTCTAATTCACAGTGCACCCTTAGCATACTAAAGTTTCTGAAAAGTCATGAAGTACAGAAAATGTTTCTCAAACTTACCTCACCTAGAAATTGGGCAGATCAGCACGGGCTGCTCTGCTCTGAGGGAAACGCTGTTATTCAGAGCTCTGCTTTGAGTCTCACCTGCTTCTTCACAAGTTTGGCCTTACCAGAAAGGCCAACTCTGGAAAGCTTTGAACCTAGAACCCGTCAGCGGTGTTTGTTCACGACTCTGCTGAAGGATGAATAGTTCTCATTGTCTTTCAAGTCCAAACACAAGGAAGTAGGCTTAAAACACACAGGATGATGATGTTTTGGATCTAGGTAGAAGTGGTAGTTGCAAAACATTGTGAATGGACTAAAAGCCCCTGGTTTACTTTAAAATGGTTTTTACATTATGTGAATGTCGCCTAAAAAAAAAACTAACCACTTTATGCCTGATGCATTTTTTTTTTTAAATTTTTTTTCCTTTTTGTCTTTTTTACTGATCGGTAACGGGATCGCAGCCCTCGGTGTCGCACCCGTACTGGGGACTGGCAATGGGATAGCAACCCTCGGTGTTGCACCCACACCACGCTCAACCAGTGAGCTGGAACCGGTCTCCGCATGGGATCCGAACCCTCAGCGGGAGCGCCACCGCACTCCCAAGCGGCGCACTCTCCAGTGCGCCACCGGGCCGGCCCTGCCTGATGCATTTCTAACGGTGGAACAGGGGACTGAGGATCCTAAGGAACAGCCTGTCTTGAGTGTAGGGAGGACTCTAGAGGTTCACAAAGGTATTGCTTTCTCTTGCTCATATGTCCTGAGTATCACTTTGTGAAAGTTTTCTTACTTTGCCTCTGAAGTTGGTATGTTCAGCACATGCTAGTTTTTATTATGATTCCTAGACTTTATAACTGGGATGGTTGGTGCATCCATGTTATGAGGTTGGCAAGCAACCGGGGAACTACAGCTATGTAAGTCAGCAGTAATGATTTCCAGAAAGAATGTTTTCCTTACTTAGAACTCTCTCTTAATTTTATTCAGTACTGCCCTTAACCTTGTCATTTCAATTTTTTTTTTTTTTTTTTAAAAGATGACCGGTAAGGGGATCTCAACGCTTGGCTTGGTGTT